ACCAGTCGCCGCTGGATTACCTTTAACCATAAACTTAACCAGTCGCCGCTGGATTATCGCGTAAACCAATCCCGTAGAGCAAGCTCCCCCCCCCCAATCTATTAAATCCTGCAATACCTAATTGTGAAGGACTTTATGCACAGAGAGGGGAAATGAAGAGAAGAGTCTTCTCTAAAGACGCCGTAATTATTGTGAGAAACCTAGTGGACAACATGCGCATCGTCACACCTCATGCGAACCCCCTAACCAATCCCATACGGGTCTACTTCTATGATTTTATCCTGCTGGTCTTTATGTCTCAGCAGACCAGTTCGCCGCCTGGATTTTCTAACGCTCTAAGTGTGTACCTGAACGCACCAAACGCGCGTGTTTGGAATTTCTAAAAGCCGGCTCCCATTCGCATTCACTTTGCAAAAGTATGTCCCCATTGTTATTCAATATCAGCTTATTATATTCACCCAAGTCATTAATGTACTAGCCTTTAGTATTCAGCATCTAAGGCCCTGCCTCATGGCCGACTGCCAGCACCACTCTAAATCTTCCTAAACCTACCTATCACAGAATTCATGAAAAAGTTTGTTTTACCTTGTTTGTACCCGTGGTACTTGCAGTCAAACCTCTCAGCAACGCCTTCCCCCAACGAGAGCCCCACGTTGGGCGCCAACTGTTAAGGTTTGCGGAAGCTCTCGAGGGAGGACTCAATCCTTTGTTCTCGTCCCGGCCGGAAACGAGGACACGAATGAGTCAATTCGTTTAAATTCAAAAATCAAAAGTTATTTAATAACTGAACAACGTAATAGGGATTACAATTACAAAGTGAAATACTAAGCGAACAGTGGAATATTTCGCGAAATAGAGAATCCTCTGAGCAAGTCTGAAGTGACTTATCAACGCGGCTGCAGGAGAAGTTCTAACAGTCTTTCCCCGCTTTGGTCCTTTGAAAACTCTTGAGGTGTGTCTTCTTTGGTGCATTTGAATGTCATTGGCCTCTTCTCCAAAGGGTCACCTCCTCCATTGTCCCTTCACGTCGAGGTGTGAAGCTGCAGCTGTAACCTGAAACCTCTCTGTCCTAGCTGTCCCTCAAATTCCAATGCACTCAATGCAGATACAGTGGCTTTATGCCTCAATGAGTGAACCCAACAAAGCATACATCGTTTAAGTCTTCATCTTATAACTAGTACACTTTCATTACAACAACCCATCATTAATGATCACCGTTCATCACATTTCATCATAAGATCTAAGACAGTTCATGTGGTTCAATTCTCAAGACATTTGCCTCAGTCGGCTGCCTTACATGAAGTTGTTCATTTATTACCTGACAGGAGAAAAAACTCCCAAAAAACCCTTTTTGGGGATAAAATTGGGAGAAATCCATAAAGAACGGCAATTGGCATCCGTCCCCAGGTTTTAACATCACATTGTGACAGAATGTTAATGTGTACAGTGTTTATATGATTTAAATGACTATGAATTGTGTTTGATTGTAATTGCATTCACTTCATCTAACATGTTAATGTAATAACTAATATCTAACATCACACAAACTATAATTCTAACACTAAACATTATTACACGTACTATAATTCCCTGACTAGGGGTGCACTTCTGGCTTAAATCCCTAACACGACCAAACACATCGAGCAGGAGAACCTGGTTTTGCTCGACATGTTGGCGAGCTCGATACCAAATACTGGGATGCAAATGACGGCAAATCCGCCACTGGTTCCCCATCGATGACGTTAACATAATTTAGCACAATGATTTTAATAATTAAATAATGCTTAAATGTGTCAATATTATAATGAAGTTTGATAGTCTACACTTACACTATCTGAGGACCTGCTGTATGTAATGCAAAAAAATAATTAAGCACAAGATGTAAGATATTTGTTTTTCTTTTAGAGCCATGTGATATTTCATATCATGATAAAAAAAGATGTCTGACGACAGTTGCTCGTCCAATTTTTCCATCGGCAGCACGCAAGTGCACTTAGCTCCTGCAGTACGAGACATGGACATTATGTGTCCCTTCTCCCTGTGACAAAAAGAATACCAAGCGTAGGAGGGCTCTTCAACCTGCAGCGGAGAAAGTACATGCTGAGAGGCTTCAGCCCTCTTAAGACACCGCATGGTGGGAGGTCTATTTTCTCTCAATCTTCCCTCTCTCCGCAGGGAGGGTGAGTGTGAGTGTGAGTGAGTGTGTGTGTGTGTGTGTGTGTGTGTGTGTGTGTGTGTGTGTGTGTGTGTGTGTGTGTGTGTGTGTGTGTGTGCGTGTTGCAAGTTGAAGTCCGGGTCAGGGGCGGATGGTGGAGTCACTTCACATTGTCAGATCCCTCCAAAGATTAAAAGAGAGAAGCTGTGTTTTCATTTCTCAATAGCTGACGCTCATCAGAGTGATGAGGAGTAAAGGAGCTGACCTCCTAAATGTGACCACGGCTCAACTGAAGCTTTCCTTGTGAAGTGTGTGTTACTGTGAATATCAACTAGCCTCATTCTGTGACCACATGTAACGCAGCAAAACTGCTCGTAAACCATCCTTGTACTTTTTATCCATTCAATATAATTTAATTACATGTAAGATCCACAAGTAATCTTTTGTCAGTGGCATTATGGCGCGCAATGTCAACATTTTAGCAATAATAATTGCAACAGGGTGTGAGT